CACCTGATGGCTATTCGACTATTAACACGTTCCATGTTTTCGCTTATTCTGGGTGCGGTGTTTCACCTATTTGTGAATTTATAATGAGACTTTAATATGGGCTTCTCTCACTGTGAAGAAACTCTGTTCTCAAATGGCATTTTACTGATTCGATTTGCTCCAGTTTTTGATTTGGATGAAAATTAGAATTTGATCTATTTTAAGAGAAATAAAACACTGACATTAAGATATCTGTATTATAATCCATTGGTGATTACAGTCATTGCATGCAAAAACCCTGAGTAACAAACTTATTACTTCATGTCTACTTTCTCTATATACATGTATATTTGATGTGTTAAATAGTATAAATAAATTGAAAATAAAAACACTACTTCCTCTAGTGGGTCCGCGTGATAGGAAGGTCACACTGATATATTAAGTGGACATTATGTATGCATGAAAAAACGTATTAAAAATAAATTAACATTTTTACTGAACATGTACACCCATTAATTGTAATGTAACATATCAATTTCACGATAAGGCCACACTGGGCCATTAAGTTCTGTTATTTGATGATCAGTTGACCAAGCTATTGTATACTCATCGCAAAATATTAAGACCTCTTGAAACGATTGTAATGCAATATTTGCAGGATCTCCCTCCATGGTGGTTAAACAGCGCCATCTATGTTCAGGGGCACTGATGTGTTTTTATACTTGTGTTCATAGAATTTGTCCCTATTTGTTTAAATGCAGTTTTATTTAATTTCATTGTCTATTTGACATTGTATATATTGTCACAACACAAATAATTAGTTAATTTAGCAGCAGCCACCAAGGTTGACAAATCCTTTCACAAGTAGTGAAGATGAAACTAGGTGATTCGCCAGTTTAACACGGCCATATCGTTCTTCGCACCTTCGAATTCAAGCCCCGGTCAAGAAACACACCAGACTCATTCCAAGGCTTTTCAGCATGATTTATATATTACTTGAAAGCACTCCTTCGCGTTATTACACAACAATTCATTATGTAGATGTTGTCTTGGTCTTCATCTTTTCATATTTCCACGGTACAGTGGAAATTAATATATTTTTGCTTCTTGGTACAGTCTAACAAATGTTCGCGTGTCTGGGTTTTCGATGCAGCCAGCCATGTTATTCGGTGGTCTGACTTGGTTATACCGAGTCCAGTCACCTTTACAGTGTATCCAAGGCATGATGTCAATTTTATAATGTAATTCATACGACACTTCTGTACTTATGAGATTAGGCGTCCCCGCGCCTGGTCCCCGAGTGATAAGAATCATATCGCTATCATAGCAGCAGTGTTGCGCAGCTAGACTGGTACTTTGTACGGATAGTTTAGATCGAATACAGTGGCTAGCTGTGGGTTTGTAGATATTTAGCTTCTCGCCACTCGCATCCATCCAATTAAACGTTTTTTGTTTTTGTTGATCCCAAATGCTGCTATTGTGTGCAATGATGATGGGGTAGACACATGGACAACTCGGTAGTTCCTGTAATCTGGACAGATACGAGAGGAGAAATTCGTTCTTACAGGTCATCCATGCCTCACAGCTGTCGTGTTCTGAAAGCATAAATTAGAATCAATTAAATTAAATCCTGCATGCGAGAGTTACATGGTTTGGGCTGCTTTTTAAATGTGACGTGATATTCTTGTATCCGGCCGGTGTGTTTGTTCGCACCCTGCTTTGTTCGTTTAACAAAGTAATGCAACATAAATAAGCAAATTAGCGAAATGGATGTTAGCAACTGTTGTAGGAAGTTGGAATGAAAACAGTTTATGTGGCTGGAGGGGTGAAGTGAAGGAAACGATCAAGGCCAAGTGAAAAGGGTTCGCTATTCAAGGAGTGCTCTACAAGAAATAACTTTTCCGGTATGTTGGCACCTTCATATCGTATTACCCTAACTAAAAGTTCAAAATTGCATGGGTGGGATTTATCTATAGTGTCGTGAGTGATATTGGTCATCAAAATCTTATCAACTGGTCGGAGCGGATGTCATTTATATTGTGCATGTCGCCATGAAATTGGACAAATCGGCACAACAAGAGAATAACCTCTGTTACTCAGCCGATGTGAACGCAAGCATGGCGCGTGTTAGCCGGCCAAGGTTCGGAACTAGATCGTGGTGGTGGTGGTAGTGGTAGGGAGATTAAATTGAAGTGAGTGAATGTTCACCTAAATCATCCGTGAACGAAGCAAGGTGTGTGAGTAGGCCAAACTGTTCTTCTACCATAGCGTCTGCATCACCAGGCTCACTATCGGACTCTGGCGTTTCTTCTGAAACAGAATCATAAAAATAACATGATGTGAATAATGATACTATTCATAAATACGTTATGTATAAAGCCATTCCTGATTAGTATGCTGCTCCATTTATACAAAATAAATTAAACGGTCACAGTCGTCATAAACTACAAAGGGTTGTCATTTCATAGTGTATAATATTGTGTTGCCTTGTGACGATATGCCATTTAATTCAAAATGACCGACTGGTAGCCATTTGTTGTATTATTTCCATTTATTGTATATGGAGATACGTTTGCCGAGTTTGTTCGAAAAATAATGGTTTACATGTGCTGGTCAGCGATTCAGTTATCTTATCTAATGTGGCCGCCAGGTGGTCATCTATGTCGTCTATAACGTCGGCAGTATTTGATCGCCGTCTGTGCGGCAGATCTTCACACATCGTGGAATGCATATACATGCGGTTAAGTTCCTCAAATCAAAATCAAATTCAAGAAACTTGAGTGGTGGTCATTCAATACTTGTGTTTATTTCGTGTTATGCATTATTCAGTGTGTGGATGTACATCCAGACTCTGAATCTACGTTTATAGGAACAAGTCCGCAATTGGTGTTAGACAGGCGCCATTGTGTAGACACTTGAACAAGTCCGCAATCATGTTGTTGGCCGGGCCGCGTCGTTATCTTGATACTTTATTTACATATGCCATTACGTCTAGTTCAGTTTTACTATAAGACAGCAACATCAACTATCAACTTAAAAATACTCTTTTACAAACAATTTGACGTTTTTTTATTGAAGTTGTCTATATCGCTTTTGTTAATAATAAATAAATAAATAAATAAATATCCTTATAAGTTATTATTTTACAATTTGTATGTTATTGTTATTATTATTCGAATTGTTCATATCCCTACCATGTCGCTACGTAGTCTAATTTAATCATGTGTATATAAGGGGCGGACCAACATTTCTGGCGGGGTGGGTAGTCTGGATCATTCAGCGAACTCATGTTTGCGCGGCGTTACGTTATATTTACCTGGACACGGTTGAATTATACAGTCCTGAGTCTCTGTTGAAATGCACGAATTGCCACAACTTCTTTGTCGGCGTTTAGTGCCACCTCCACATGTAACACTGCATTCAATCCACTCGCTCCAGTCGCCCGTAACCCTATCGAAATCGACCAATTGTTGCCCTCCCATAACGCCTACAAAGAAACGTGCGAGGAGATGAGAACCACTGAATACAACTGGAGTAATTATTTACGGGTCTTTGAAAACTGACATACGCTTGACTAGTTGACTAATCTTGTTTTCTGCGCACCGCATATTAAAATGCGTTGTTTGTGCTCACTGTGTTATGATTGGTGTAAATGACGCATTTGTACAATACACGTGGTCACGCCCCGTATACCACAGTCATAAACATTATTTTAAATTCGTCACTGGGAAAGAGTGGATATCATACTTGAACACAGCTAGGTTTAATTATCATTGTTACAAACATTCCTACCTTGATAAGTGTCTGTTTGCGAGAAGCCATATTCATCGCTCTGTTCCGTGAATGCCCGCGGTGAACTAGTCCTAATATTATCCAGAAGATTAATGTCATCCTGCGGAAACGTCGTTTGCGTTCCTGTGGTCTTCATCCCGTCAATGTCGGCGTCACTATTTATCAAAACATCCGTCTTTTCACTGTCTTCCGTGCCACCCGGGTTTCCGATATTCTGGAATGCATTGGCTAGCTCCTCAAAGTCAATGATTTGACCGACAGGGAAGTCATTCGGCCCGCGGTTATCCTTCTCCATTTCCGTATAGTTTTCATGGAGAATTTCAATTGTAACTTCAATATTAGGGTTTGTCCTTGTCAAATCCGGTGATCCAAGCTCTGCCAAATCACTGTTTTGAAATAACTTGGCATAATCTTTCGGCGCAGAATCGTTTTCAGAGATCAAGTTTGTTTCTTTTTTTCCTTTCATGTTTGGTGCGAATCTGTTGTCTTCGCTCAAATAGTCATAAACATAATCCTGGTCGTGTTTGTCCACGTCACCTAACGTCGGGTCGTCCCTTTGTTCACTTTTTGGAGGATGTTTCCTTTCTATTGTCTCGTCAAACAAGTCTACACCAACCCGTCCCTCTAATTCGTGCTTTCTATTTTTCTCTGTATTCCGTTCTTTCTTATTTCCTTTCCTTCTCTCACGATTTCTGTTTCTTTCACGTTTTCGTTTTTTCCCCTTTGTCCGCCCATGATTGTGTCTACGAGGCAATTCTTCTACCACCTCCGTCCGTCCCCTTTTACGTTCATTATCACGACTCGGTCCAACCCCCGACTCCCTGCGATGCCGTGTGCGAGGTTTAATATATGTCCCTTCCTCGATCATATATTCACTTGGAGTCCTGATGTTTCTAATATTTTTATCAATTACATTTTCAAAATTGCTCCTTTTCAATGATTCCTCAACTTGGATACCATGTAAATATGTAGATGAATGTTTTCCCAGAATTTCCCTTCGCCTGACATTTACTTTTCCTGAACTGTCCCTCAATCCCTGAAATGAAACAGAATAAGTACGATTAATACTAGTATACTAGTACATGCGTGTATTGATCACATGATATGTGGCGTCATCACATATCGGGAACACGGACACGTGCACGGAATTACACCCAGCCCATAATCATGGTGTACGCTAGCCGAGAACTAAAGTGCCAACTACTAGTATATGAGTCGTGGGTTCAAAACAACATTTCAATGCCGGAATTCATTTCATGTCGTAGCAAAAAAGTTTGTGATGAGATTGTTATGTACGCCGTATAGATAAACATTGTAGAATCAACTGATTAGTGACAGCGCGTCTTCAGTGAGTAATAATTGGATGCTATATAGTGTTATTGTTGTAATCTAAGTGGCATTATCTTTAAATGTAAAATGGGTCACTATTCTAATATTACGGTTGTATCACCACCCAGGGATTGATTAGCTGAAACTTATTCACTGCGTTGGGTCAGCACACTGCCTCATTTAAAATTAAACTTCAAAGGATGCGTGTCTCCTTATAAACCAGTTTTTGTCCCCTAGTGATTTCTTGCACACTTCAATCTGAAATTGATTTATATTTGGAATATCTTCGTTATTTTGCATCTCTTATTTATGCGTGTGGGTTAACATCAACCAACCTCCGTTAAATTGGACCACCGTACAATAAACAACGGCTGATTGTGTCAATTCCAATTAAATTATTTATTAAAAACTAGCAACGAGGTCCAGTAATTACAGTATTCCCATTTCCTTCTGTGACCCCAACCACGTGTCGGACATCGCCACTGCTTCCGTCGAAGGGGCGATGTACGATGTCAGGCAATGTATGCTGGGAAGTTGAAGATTGTTCGGTAGTTGCAAACGCATTCCATGGTTTCTTCGAAGCATGACAAAATGTTGCTAGGGATATAGCCCTGAATAGTCGGTTAATGAGACGTGTTTTTCCGATTCGTGAACATGAAATTTGCGGGAGAAATCAAAAACAGGTTTCCCGATTACAGCGTGTTGATTTCTTTTCTGCGGCTTCTTTATTCTACGTGCACGGTACTTAATTGCTTTGAAGTTCGCCGCCGATGATCCTGGACAATCACAAATTGTTCTGAGAACCGATATAATCCCCACGGGGAGAATCTACTGTGTTGGACTATCCAGTTAATAATAAAACAAAACAAAAAAAAGCAGATATATATTCGACAGCTTTGCTCATCCGTCTTGGAAATGTCGGAAGTCAACATTCGGCACCGCCTTGCACGTTGAATGATTGCCGACTGAAGGTCTAAATGGCCTTAGAGACGAACTAAATGATGGCAATGTGACAGCGGAAGGATTACTTGCATATTTTCGAGGACAGTGATCCGCGAATCGTAATAGTCCGAGACAATTTAGTCGCAGCATGACTGCTACTAGTACTTCCACGTTCACGCTCGATAAATGTGAAAATGTATGTCATTTGATATTTCTCTAAATTGTATGTTGTCTAAACGCCTTGAACGGAAACGTAATAAGCATTGAGGTGGATGAATCGGGATTCATATTTTTGTTCACAAGAGAACGACATAAAACATCTGATGACGGTTGATTGGTTCCACTCTGTATCTAAGAGCCGACTGACTCTTGATAACACCATCACCATCCAAGCGAATTCAAACGGAAACATTGGCTTTAGCACGGGTGCTAGAAGAAACAGCTGCCGACGTCTTGTCAAACTCTCCGTTTTAACGTTATCATGAATTTCCTCTGACACTGTTTTGCAACATGTTGACATGTATTCATACTTACTGACCTTTTAATTATCAGCAATATATTTTTTCGTCCGCAAACTCATATAATTTACCATCAGTGGTCGCATCTCTCTATCTCCAACGAAAACTTTATACATTGTCGAAAACACTTGCTATTGTACTAATATAATCTGACAAAATCGACCGTGTTAATTCCCCATTTTATTTGGAAGGTCTTGCGAAAACAGTTGTAAGACCCCATGGACAGGACAACAGAGGCTACGGTAAACCATAATCCACGACGAAAACAATGGGTCCGTAAAAGCAGCATTGGGTCTACGCTATACTGAAAATAAGGTACCTCACTTGTTTTCATACACGGTACAGAACCAACGTCGCCAGAAGATGCTCTACAGACGTTATGAATTGGATTGCAAATAGATCTTTTACAGAACAAACAGTAGGCCAAGAATATACAAGAAGGTCATTTATATAGAGGAAGTTGTAGGTAAACCCAAAACCCAAGAGTGAAACGATTGTAAATCGAACCAGATAGTGAGATAAAACGCACCAAGTGATGGAGTTTGTAATTCTTACCTGTGTACGTAGTCTCTGTAGCAATGGTTTGCTCTGGCATACTGGGTGAAAAACTGTAATTATAAACACCAACCTAACTATAATATTCGACCGCACTAACGAAACCATGTCGCCGTTAACTATCGCTACTCGCTTCGTGTACGTTTCATCCCATTGACAGTAGGTCCGAAACCTTCCAGTAAGATATAATGGTGTTTCCCATGTCAGCTATAGAAATATAATATAATAGACGGATATAAAATGAAGTGTTAATGTCGACTGGCGCATACAGATAGATGTGCGTTCGCAGTACTATTGTATACCCGTTGTCCGTTCAAAGGCAGTTGACAGTTTTCTCCTGTTAACTTGTACAAACTGCTAGTCACTATTAAAGGGGACGCATGAACGAAGCCACACCCCTCACCACCATGTACCGACAATTGGTCGACGAGAGATAAATCTATTGCCGATTGGCTACGCTATCATCGCGAGTACGCTCGTGATTTCTAACACGTCTTCCAGTGCCGATGTATTCCATTACGTGAGTGAGAACGATATGAAGTGTGTTCTCCGCACCAATTAGTGAAATAGCATTTACTCTTTATAGTGTATAAACAGCCATCAATATCAACGCGGTGTTATCGCTTGAAACCCCCAGGAAGTAACGTGACACTTCCACATCTTTCATCGTTCTCTCTCCTTACCGAGTGCCCGACTAACTACTATAGAGGTAGATAAGTTAATAGGATAAACTCGCCACTAATATCCCCCTCCCTGTTCCAAGTACTCATTACGATCTCCTATGCCAACATGGTATGCAATGTAAATGCAATTGGTCCGGCGTGTAAAAGTAAATAAAAAAACCATTCCAGAACTACTGATGTCGATATTTGCAGGTTCTATCTACAAACGCATTCAAAACAACATTAATTGGATTCTTGAATATTACGATGTGAGCATTCCTGTCGTGTAGAGTACTACATCATGGGCACCGTATAGGCATCCCCAGTTTGAGTCGTCAATTGTGGGCGACATCGCTGTCTCCGCACAATCTTCGGCTTGTCGTGTGATAACCCTCGTCGTCCGGGTCCCAGTGTTATGAAACGTAATGCGGTAGTCGTTATTCTGCACGAATAAGAACTAAGAATTGCCCCCTTTTACATTAATAAAGTAGCCGATATTGAACGAATCACCCCAACCGTTACAAATTGTAATACTGTTTAAAGCCACTTTTCTTTCAAAATTAACAAGCCATATAAACATAGTTCTTTTCCATTGCATGTTGCTAAGAATTACTTTTTTTAGAAGTGACCGCCGGCGGATCTCAGTTTTCACGTTGTGCTGTTTAGAGACGCAAGATACGGGACTGTTTTCTATCACACGGGCGTGTGCGGTCTGCTTTGAGTTCACCAACTATGGTGGAATTGAAAGGCTTTGCTGTTTTCGGAAATGTACACTTTACATAACGATTCCAATATTGAGTTTACTTTGAAACAAGTAGTCGCTTTGTCTATTGTAAGCGCCTCATGACAAGTATATGAATTGTCAATTTTCAGGTGTGCCTGGATTTCAACGTGGTGTCAGATGGTAGGGGCGGAGACACCTGGCCAACCTCGACTGCCAGGCTCCATCACACACTCCCTCTTCGTCATGTGGAGACACAACCATCGTATATTGATGTGCCTTGTCGGCATTTCTGTGTGTATAGCGGCATCGATTGTCCCCAGCTATAAGCAACGTAATATGTAATCGGAGGAGATATTTTGATCAAACCTATCGGTCCCGATATACTTGTTAACAGTGATGGTTCTAAATATACATTGGAGATTAAGACTGTGATACCTATATTACCCAAGAGAAGGTTAGAAATGATTTTAAGCAGGGGAGATGCAAATATAGACTAGGTTCGCTGTGTCACATGGAGATCAATGAGTAGCAACTGCCTGTACTCGCACGTATAATCAATTTCTTTTCTGTTTCTACAATAATGCGAATGTGGAAAGTGGACGACATCTAAAATATACAAGTACTCAAACGAGGACAACTGCTTTGGTAGTCTAATTGTAGGGTCCATGACCCTGAGAACATATTTCTCAAGTCGTGCCGCGGCGGTTGTTCGGCATGTTGAAAGTTGTCATTTGGCCATGACAGCTACTGGGGTAGATCCGTCAAACTACCCGCTGTCAAAACACAAGGTGTCCAAAAACACTGGCAGCGTCTCTGTGAATTCGTAATGAGATCTCAACACAAGTGCGTATTTTCTGTTTTCTATTGTCTGTTATATGCAGATAAGAAGAACGCCGAACAATCAAATTGTATATACATATTTTCTATTTTGTAGTATCCAGAAGCCTGGAAGAGCCTTCTGTGTTCCGAAACTGTGGCCAATAGGATAATACTCTAAATTAACTTGAATGTGTGGCGAGATGATTACCTAATTGGTCGGAGTACTGGGTAAAAGCTGATTTTCACCCCTGATAAGCGTATATATATTTCCCTTTCTGGGAATATTGAACTGTATATACTACACTAATGTTTGTAAATGCTACAGGCGCCACTCACCTGGTGTATCCGATCAAACCACACACCACGCCAACCAGTAAATGAACCCGTACTAAGGAATCTGATCACTGAAACCTCTACCTCATTCGTACTCTAGTCAACGGAGGCATATTGTATATGTGTTTTAGTCACATGATTATTTACATGTTTACTTGCATCTTTGTTTAATGTATATCGTGCGCGAACTGTTTTTCACTATTCCAGCCTATCTGCAGGCGATAAGCCTCGCGGCGACTAGAGTATAGGTGTAGCGATGTGTTTTCAACCTTTTGTGATACTCATCATACATACACGCACGCTTGTTTAAAAGGATTGTCGCGTATACGTTCAGTTTGCATTTTAACTGATTTGAGACTTTTTTATTCTCTCTTTTTGGAGACTGTGTTCATATTGGATTGGTTGGGAATGACCAACTTAAGTACCATGCAAGTATATACGTGCAATTGCAAGTATTGTCTGGCATATTGCAGTCATGTGCGTGAAGGGCATTCAAGACAGCTAATGTATGGAATCTTGAATATCTTTCATATTGATGTTGTTAACACTGTCCCTTTATATAAACATTGCAAACAAATGTCCTTTCCTTCGAACACGTACTTCGCCTCTAACGTTATTTATCATATTGACGTAGGTTCCATTGCTCATACCGTATGGAGACAGCGTGTATACACATGGTGACCCTCACTGAGTTGCACGGAGACGCCGATACGCAGAAACAACTTCATATACCATTACTAGGCAATTTTACAAAAGCCCTATTGATAATTGCCATGTAATGGTCGGAACTTATCGCAAGAAATTAGTTCGGTCCCGTAACGCGAAGCCGATAACATAGTATACAGTGTGACACAGATGTATATGGTGAATCTGGGCGCAAATGGAAGTGCAATAGCCATATATAGAACAACTGTCCTTGTTCATTTGGCTTCGGCAAACGTATTGTAATGTGACAAAGCCTTATACATTTGCATACAGAATAGCGAACGCTATACATATAATATAATCTGACATGATTTTGATAGATGTATGTTTAGGGAGTTGAGCACACTTCGACAAGGCTTTCCGACCTCAATGAAGTATGATCGTACATTCAACTGTCACTGGTTTGTCGGTGTGTGTGTGTTTGTGGATGGTGGGCCTTGGAACACATTTGGTCAATATACTATGGTGTCAGCAACTCTCAAAAAAGAGGACGGTCGACCACATATTATCAACTTTTTAGTGCCGTTCTATATTCCCAATGTTGAACTTTTTCGATGAACACTATAGACGTTTTTGTCAAACTTACCAGAGTATGCGTTTTCCCCTTAGGTTCTACGCACGTACAATGTACATACATGAAGACACGGCCAACTCTTTGCTATACCAATGTAATGTGCTGCGACCATTGTGTGGACAACTCACAGCTATGATACTCATCTTTGACCCCAGCTTTCTGTAAATGACTGTAGAGTAACTAGAGTGAATGGGCCGATATCACTGCATGCCCGGTAAAGTAGGTGTTTTCTATTGGGAATTCAACGTATATTGACATAGCGATCTCTCGTGTCTTACAATAGAAAATATATTACAATTGGTACTGTGCTAATTACACTCGTGGCGTATACCAGGGGTATGGAATCCAGTAACCGGACTGAATGGCGACGCAAATAGGGAACTTTGGACGATAAGCGCTAGTAAAAAATGGTACAACTATAGTGATGGGTGCTTGTAGAATTTGATTAACGCGAGGCGGTTGACTCTGATGTTATACACTTGGAATTATCCAAGTATTTGTTATGAGCAACGTATTAAGTTAGAAGCATGCTCAAAGAAAACACCCAGAATTTATCCATTATTCAAATGTTAAGGTTGCCATTCCATTTTTGAGAAAATGATAGTAATGGTTTATAGAATGTCGGCCATTTTGTCAGCATTTGAACGCTTTTACCATTGGTCCCTATATTGGGGATAATATGCCATATCTGAATTTCAGTATCCTTCATTACGAATTCAGGTTAGAGCCACACAAATATAGAATAAAGAGAGATGACGTACACTAAAGGAATTGAAGAATATAAGCTTAAGCTATACCCGCCCTGGACAAAATAGCGTCATTCACACTACCCATGATTACATCAGCGTCATTCACAATACACATGATTATATCAGCGTCATTCACAATGCACATGATTATATCAGCGTAATTCACAATGCACATGATTATATCAGCGTAATTCACAATGCACATGATTATATCAGCGTAATTCACAATGCACATGATTATATCAGCGTAATTCACAATGCACATGATTATATCAGCGCCATTCACAATATCCATGATTATATCAGCGTCATTCACAATACACATGATTATATCAGTGTCATTCACAATACACATGATTATATCAGCGTAATTCACAATGCACATGATTATATCAGCGTCATTCACAATACACATGATTATATCAACGTCATTCACACTACACATGATTATATCAGCGTCATTCA